GTGCAGCTTCTTACCACTAGGCCACCAGAGCTCCCATCTTCTCCCTTTCCTCCCTTCAATTTCTTCCTATCCAAGCACTGGCCTTCCTCCTGATCCTCCAACAAGCAGGCTTTGCAGGCTTCAAGCACAAAGCATGCTTCTGTCTGAGACACTCCAAGATTTTGTCATATCCAGATCTTCACATTTTACAGCCCTCAGTTCATACATCATCTTCACAAAAGGCCTATTTTCTTTCTCTTTTGTTTTCTTTTTTTTTTCTGATGTCACCTTTATTAGCTCCAAAGTCCCATATTGGACAAGACACAGCCCCCCTGTACTGAGCCTAAGAAGGAAACAAGATCAAGAGATTAATTCAAGGAAGGAGTCAGAGCCAGGCTGCTAAACCCAGTGACTGAGCCCTGAAGGAGGCAGCTACCCCGTCAGCCTGGAACGGAGGAGATGGGAGCCGGAGCTGTTGTTGCTACCTTTTGTTTCCTTTTAATGCCCTTATTATCTAAAATGATCTTATTTTATACTTGTTCAACTGTCTCCCCTGTTAAATGCATGCGTAAGCTCTGCATTGTTCACTGCCATTTCCTTAGCACCTAGAAGAATCACTTGTTTACAGGCAACTTTAAATAAGAAAAAGCATGGACAAGTAGAAAAGTATATTAAAATAATTATCAAAAGTAATTGTCATGCTCGATATCATTCTTCTATCTTTAACAATAGAAATACTGTAATTCTCAAAGCCCAAATTTTACCATCTTCAGAATACAAACGATTCTATTTCTAGCATTTTTAACATTAGAAACGAAACTGTCATTAGGCTAAAATGATTTTCATAGGCCTTACCAAATAAATAATTCAAATATTATTTTACCACTCTTTTCACAACATGACATTTCTTGTAATATGTCCAGCTTCCAACTGAACTTGTTTTTCTTACTTTAGGAAGCCTGTATCACTGAGCCTAATTCATTGCTTTGAGTCCTGGGAGAATGGGTGATAGAGCATTTTATCTATCATGTTAAGAAACTAAACCACACACTCTCTCTCTAATCAATTTTGAGCCTGTGGCTTGTTAGTTTTGTCTGAAACCTACCAGTCAGACATGAAGCGCATCTGTCAGCTGTGATGTCTGCTCTGAGCTACTGAAGTAGATAATACCATCGCTATAATCTCTGGTGCTCAATAAACTACTGTTGTTGTTGTTATTTAATGCCGTCGAGTCGTAGACGACTCATAGCAACCCTATGAACGAACAGCCTGAGCACTGTTCGTACACAGAGTTTCCGGAGGCAAGCCATTTTGGAAGTGGATGCCACTCCAGCTTCCAGAATAAACTACTAGCCCTACAATTTTACCAGATTTATTAGCTGCAACCCTATTGGCCTTTAACATTTGATCTTCTATTCCTAATACTGACACATTGGATGAAAAGTAATTTTTAAATAATTTTAAATGGAAAATATTTTCAAAATAAAGCATTAGAGGATGTTATTAAACTGGCTAAACACATAGCATGGTCTTACTGTGGCATTCTTATAAGGCCCAAGTATATACCAACACTGCAGTGACAACACACTCCAACAACAACAACAAAAAACCAAGGGTGTGAAAAGACTGAAAACTCTCATACGCTATTGATTGGAATGTAAAATGGTACAAGTATTATGAAAAGCAGTTAAGGGATTCCTTTAAAAGTGGAAAATAATCTCCTCCTGTACCAGTCAGATCTGATTTTACGGTACACTCACACAAAAATAAAATAAAATAAAATAAAAAGTGGAAAATAGAAATGCCATTTGACCCAGCAATTCCACTACTGAGAATATGTATCCTAAAGAAATACAAATTATGGTACAAACAGGTATCTACATACCCACAGACACTGCAACACTAGTCACAGAAGCAAAGAAATGGAAACAGCACAAACATCTATCATTGGATGAATGGAGAAAGGAACTATGGTACATTCACACAATGAAGTGCTACGGAACTTTAAAAACAATGAAGTATTAGGAGCTCTGGTGGCCTACTGGCAAGAAGCTGCACTGCAATTCCAGAGGTACTGGGGGGTTCAAATCCACCAGATGCTCTGCTGGAGAAGGAGGGGCAATCTCCTCCTGTCCCGTCAGATCTGATTTGACGGTACACACACACAAAAATAAAAACTATTAAAATAAAAAATTTTTAAAAAAAAATTAAAAATTCATGAAATACTACACAATATGGATGCATCTAGTGGACATTATATTGAGTAAATATATCAGACACAAAAGGACAATGTTATAGAAGACTGTTGTTGATGTTGTTGTTGTGTACCATAAAGTCGGAACCGACCCACAGCTGACCCTCCCATGGGTTTTCAGAGGCAGTTAATCACATTGGAGGAGACTGCCCATCCTTCTCCTGCAGAGCAGCTGCTGGCCTCGAACTGTGTGCCTTCAGGATAGCAGCTCAGCTTCTTTCCCACTAGGCCACCAGAGCTCCTGTATAAGACTGTTGTTGTTATGTGCCGTCGAGTCGTTTGCGACTCATAGCGACCCTATGTACAACAGCCCTAAACCGTGCTCTATCCTGTGCCAATCTCATTGCCTCTGACACACCCAGCCCGATTACCCCAGTCACTGAATCAATCCACCTCATAGAGGGTCTTCCCCTCCTGCGCTGTCCCTCTACTTTACCCAGCATGATGTCCCTCTCTAAAGACCTGTCTCTCCTTACAACATGTCCAAAGTATGTTAGACGAAGCCCCAGAATCCTTGCCTCCAAGGAGCAGCCTGGTTTAACCCACTCTAGGATGAATCTGTTTGTTTTCTTGGCAGACCATGGTACATTCAATACCCTTCTCCAGCACCACAGCTCAAAGGCGTCAATTCTCCTTCTATCCTCCCTAGTCATTGTCCAACTCTCTGATGCATAACAAGTGATTACAAAAACCATGGCCTGTATCAGGCACACCTTTGTCTCCAGAGAGACACCGTTGCTCTTGAGTACTTTAGAGAGGTCCCTAACAGCAGACTTTCCCATCGCAATACGTTTTTTGTTTTCCTAGCTACTGGTGCCAAGAGTGTTGACCGTGGAGCCGAGCAAACTGAAGCTGTGAACAATCTCAATCTCTTCACCATCCATCCTGATGCTACCGATTGGTCCAGTGGTGAGAATTTTTGTCTTCTTGACATTAAGCCTCAGTCCATATTGAAGGCTGCAGTCCTTGACCCTCTGCAGTAAGTGTATGAGGTCCTCCTCAGTTTCAGCGAGCAGGGTTGTGTCATCTGCATAACACAGATTGTTGATAGATCTTCCACCAATCCTAACGCCATGCTTCTCCTCATAGAGCCCAGCCTCTCGGATAATCTGCTCTGCATACAGGTTGAAAAGATATGGAGACAGGACACATCCCTGGCGTACACCCTTCCCAATTCTGAACCATGCAGTGTTGCCCTGCTCTGTTCTGATGACTGCCTCTTGGTCAAAGTATAGGTTTCACATTAGCACGATTAAATGTTCTGGGATTCCCATTCTTCTCAGAGTCAGCCACAGTTTGTTATGATCCACACAGTCAAATGCCTTTGCATAATCAATGAAACACAGATAGACATTCTTCTGGTATTCTCTGCTTTCAGCTAAGATCCATCTAACATCAGCTACAATATCCCTAGTACCACGACCCCTTCTAGACCCAGCCTGGACTTCTGGCAGTTCTCTGCTGATGTACTGTTCCAGTCGTTTTAATAAGACTAGTATTATAAAAAAGGTAAAGAAAGGTTCATGTATAGAGAGATTCATTCTCAGATGGTTACCAGGGATGGGAAGGGAGAGGAATGGGAGTAAAAATTATTAACTCTATAGTAGACATTTATTAAGACAAGTGAACAGGTGAAGGGAAAGTCAATATACAGTATATGGACAATCAGATAGTCTGTATTATAATTAATGTTATAAAACAGTGTGCATGAATGATCGAATAAAAAAGCTAGTATGATTTGTAAACTTTCACTCAATTCACAATTTAAAAAAATGTTTTAAAAAATACATTGATATTTTGGAGTTTCACATTTTAGATTTTAATATTTAGATCACAGTCGTATCTAATCCAACAGAGTAGTTTTTATTTAAAGAAGCTAAAACCACATTATCACTGATAGAACACTCCATGCTAAAGAAGGAAGGAATTAGGGATTCACATCCCAAACACAACAGTCAACTCCCTGTGCTATATTCTGTGTATAATAAACCGTATATAATTCTTCAACTGCCATGGATTTCTTTTACAAATGCAGGAAGACTCACTAAGTACTTTACAGTAGTTATGGCTGGAGAAGGAAGAAAAAAATGACAGAACTCAAGGTATACAATATGTATAATATGAACACACAATATGGATATAGATGTCTTACTAGTTACACTTAGTCATTCACAATGTGAAAACAAAACCGTCTTACACCGTGCTCAGCTAAATGAGAAGATTTAACAAACGTATTTCACTGCTTCACTTACCTAATTGTATGGTGGTAAAATTTGAGGAGATTGGAAATTTTATATAATAAAACGGCCCCAGGTTCAGCAACTATGACTTGCTCAATTCGAACCTATTCAAACATATAAAAATTAAAAACAATTTATGTTTTTCTTAAAATCATAAATTCTTCTTCATAACCATAATTGGCATAAACAGCATTTAAAATCATGAGAAAATGTATTGTCAAAATGACAAAACACCTCCTAGGGAATTTCTAAGCGTTAGGTCATGGGATAGTAAAATAATAGAAGCGTTTCAGCACAGATAAACCCTACAAACAAGAATCCACTACCTACAGCAAGAAAACGGCTCAAGGTGGTTCTTCCAATGAAATGTCAATGCCATGGGATGATTCCTGCTTTCTATCACCAATACATAATGGAATTTAATCCAGCATTAAATTGCAAAAGCAAATGTAATATCATCTCTCAAAATAGGTCACTAATGACAAGATACTGCTGTATTGCCAAATATAGAAATGATGAAAGAATTCTGATTTCGAATTGCTATACCAAATTTCTTTTACCGACTAGTAATCAGAGAATAGGAAAGTATGTAAAAGCTAAATTAACACCCATATTTCTTTCAAATATTACTAAGGCAAAGTTGGATCTAGTTTAACATTAATCTGCCTCAAAATTATCAGTAATTTTTTTTCTAATTAAACTCCCCCCTCACTGATCTTTACTTTATAGGCCCTACCTGATGAGGTCCCTCTAAAGTATGTTGATACGTGCTCCTTTATATACTGTATTGTCTCTACTGCCTACACGGCACCATCTGATTTCCTAACAAGATTATAAATCCTAACACAGACACTATTTTCTGATTCGTTTACATTCCTGCAGCATCTGGCAGAACAGCAGATACACAGATGTTTAATAAGCATCTTTCAAAGCTGAAGTCTTTCTGTACTTTGATTTTGGCATATGTCATAATGTCAGCAAATGTGATCTGCTAAAGAGAGATTTATCAATGTGTATTTTATCAGCACATGAAATTCTCTTAGGGAAATGTAACTTATCTATACATTAAGAAGCTGACAAAATAATACAATGCATTTTGACACAAAGAAACAGGCTGGAAAGTGACTACAATACTATGAATCATTAGTTGTATTTGAATTTAAAAATCTTAATTTCTACTTTACCATTCCTTTTAAGAGGCCCAAGGCTTCAGTGGTAGTTTGAATTATGCATTATACAACAACAGTGATAGTGTCTAAATTTTCCTATAATTGTTTGGGCAACATATAAAGGGTGTTCACTGCAGACAGGCAGTTCTCCAGCTCACTTATTAACACCATTTCAGCTCTCTGGCAACTTGCCTTCAAGAATTTGCAAGCATCAGGAAAAAGCACTTCATTCCAACTCCCTTCAAAAAAAGAAAGAGAAAGGAGGGAAGGGAGGGAGCAGAGAAGGAAGAAAAACGAAGGGTGGAAAGAAGGACGAGGCAAGGAAAAGAAACACTTCCATCTCCGCGCACACATAGTGGCTTTGAGGAGAAGTGCATCGTTTCAGCTGCAATGAAGACAAGGTACGGAAGAGACTGCAAAACAAAAACAGCAAAGGTTCTCTTCTCCACTGCCAAAGAGCGAGCCAGAACTCCATGAAGACAGTCTTGTGTTTGTGAAGGAGGCGGTAGGAGGGAAAGGAAGAATTGGGACAGAAAAATGGCAAAACGTCTTCATTTTATCATCAGAGCGAGCGACTAATACATAAGAGGGCAGCTCTGGTAGACAAGTGGTAAGGGGTTGAGCTGACAACCCAAAGGTATGCAGTTTAAATCCACCAGCTGCTCCATGGGAGAAGGATGGGCAATCTCCTCCTGTGTGATTAACTGCCTCTGAAAACTGCAGGGGGGTCAGCTATGGGTTGGTTTCGACTTAATGACACACACAACAACAATAACAACAACAACAACACTTAAAGAGTGTGTCTTCTCTAATATAGCTCAACAGCCTATGGCACAATCACTATATCATGCAGTATGGTACTCAACTCCATTTTCCTCACCATCTATGTATGTTGTTGTTGTTGTTATGTGCCGTCGAGTCGTTTCCGACTCATAGCGACCCTATGCACAACAGCCCTAAACCCTGCTCTATCCTGCGCCAACCGCACAGCCTCTGACACACCCATCCCGATTACCCCAGTCACCGAATCAATCCATCTCATAGAGGATCTTCCCCTCCTGCGTTGTCCCTCAACCCTCCCAAGCATGATGTACCTCTCCAAGGACCCGTCCCTCCTGGCAACATGTCCAAACTATGTCAGACGAAGCCCCAGAATCCTTGCCTCCAAGGAGTAGCTTGGTTTAATCCTCTCCAAGACAAATCCGTTTGTTTTCCTGGCAGTCCAGGGTACATTCAGTACCCTTCTCCAGCACCACAGCTCAAAAGCATCCACTCTCCTTCTGTCCTCCCTAGTCATTGTCCAACTCTCTGATGCATAACAAGAGACTGCAAATACATATATATTAAGTCTTTTTATGTACAAATATCTTCATAGAACCCATCATAATTTTAGAAGGTCAGGAAGCATTGTAAAACAATAAAGTTTTTATTAAAAATGCTAAACTGCAAATAATGGTTGGCAATCTTGAAGAAATCTAGAACCTTCACATAAAAGAAAGGTCATTTTTAACCAAGGAACTTAAAAGATAGAGACTTAGTATTTTAATTCTGATGTTTCCAGCTACAGTTCTGTAGTAAAGAAACCTGTAAAGTAATGGACTTGATACTGACACTCCATAGTATCTCTCTTTTCTACATAGCATTTTAGAGATGTTTATTGCTGTATTATTCACAATAGCAGAGATGAAAGCAACCGAAGTGCCCATCAACAAGAGAAATGGATAGAAAACATTCACACAATGGAATATTATGCAGCACTGAAAAGCAATGAACTCATAAAACATGACACAAAGTCACAGTTTAAGGAACCAAACAAACAAACAAAAATACACAACATAGAGGAGCCTGGAGGACATTATACTGAGTAAAATATCTCAGTCACAAAAAGACAAATACTGCATAACACCACTGTTAAAAAATAGCATAGACATGAGGCAGGGGGAGAGAATGGGAAAAGAGGGGATAGAAAATGAACACTGCAATAGAACAGATGAGGTGAGGAACTGCCCAAAAGGAATATATGATTAGACATTATATGTATGACAACAGTCTAGAACAAGGGATGCACTGCAGGGTGGGCGGGGGAGAAATTGTGCAATGATGTATAAAATAATGTTATTTTTTAAAAGAGCCATCTGACATCAACAGTGATATTCCTTGTGCCACAATCAGAATGAATCCAGCTTGAATTCAAGGCAGGTCTCTGTTGATGTTCTGCTCCAGCAGTCTCTGAACAGTCATCAGCAATATTTTACTTGAATATGATATTAATGATGTTGTTATTAGATGTCTTTGAGTCAAGTATGACTTATAGTGACTCTGTAAACAACAGATCTGAACTCTGTCCTGTCTTGTGCCATCTTCACCATCTATGACATACTTGAGCCCATTGCTGCAGTCACTATGTCAACTCATCTTGCTGAAGATTGTGTTCTCCTTTCACCAACTCTACACCTTTCCAAGCATGAAGTCTCTTTCCAAGGAACAGCCTTCCCTAAAACAGGCCCAATTATTTTTGGTCAAACATTCTTCTAAGTGGTACAGCACTGGTCTGTCCATTTGCTGTACAGACGTAACTTGTGGTTGCTGTGATGCTAAACACTGTGACACTGATGTGTCAAATGCATTAATGGTTATCTCCTTAGAGGCAAGGATTCTAAGGCTCCGTCTAAGATACTTTGGACATGTTGTAAGGAGGGACCGGTCCTTGGAGAGGGACATCATGCTTGGGAGGTTGGAGGGACAGTGCAGGAGGGGAAGGCCCTCTATGAGGTGGCTTGATTCAGTGACTGGGGCAATTAGGATGGGTGTTATCGGAGATGGTGCGATTGGCACAGGACAGAGCGGAGTTTAGGGCTGTTGTACATAGGGTCGCTACGAGTCACAAGCGACTTGACAGCACATAACAACAATAGCAACAACATGGTGGACAGTGTTTGGTGCAGCTTCCCGATAAAAACAAGCTTGGAAGCAGGAGTGGTGTCCACTTCCAAAATGGTTTGCCTCTTGAAATTCTATGAACAGTGCTCAGGTCTTTTGTTCATAGGATCACTACTGAGTCGTCTACAACTCGACGGCACTTAACAACAACAACAACAATAAAATAGGCCCAAAGCATGTGAGATGGAGCCTTGTCATCCTTGACTCCATTCTGGCTGTACGTTCTCCAAGACATATTTGTTCTTTTGGAAGTCGATGAGATATTCAGTACTCAGCTCTAACCCTACAGCCCAAAGATACCAATTTTTTCTCTCATCACCCTTCTTCACTGTCCAGCTCTCAGATGCACAGCAAGTACTTGAACAGACCATGTCCTGAATCAGAAAACACTTTAGTCTTCAAACTGACATCGTTGCTCCTCAGTAATTTGGAGATATCTCTGATGCAAGAGTTTCTCAGTGCAATACATATCCTGATCTCCTGACTGCTAATACCAAGATTGTTGACTGTGGATCCAAGTTAAGATGAAATTGCTGGCAATTCCAATCTTTTCTCCATTTATCATAATGTTGCCTGTAAGTGAGTTCAAGGGTGAGGATTTTTGTCTTCTTGAGATTGAGATGTGATCCATATTGAAGCCTGTCGTTTTTTATTTTTTTGCACTAAGTGCTTTAACTCCTCCTCACTTTCATCAAGCAAGGCTGTGTCATCTGCATAATACAAGTTAGTGAGGGGTCTTCTTCTGATCCTGGTGCCACATATTCTTCACGGAGTCCAGCTTCTTGAATGATGTGCTCAGTATACAGACTAAATAGTTATGAAAAAATGATACAGTCCTGTTACACACCTTTCTTAATTTTAAACCTTGATCTATTCACACACCAGCTTTTTGGTCTAGATACAGACTTTGTATGAACATAACAAAGTGTTCTGGGATTCACATTCTTCTCAATGTTTGCCATAGTTTGTTATGATCCCTACAGTCAAATGCCTTTGCATAGTCAATAAAGCACAAACAGCCATCCTTCTGGTCTTCTCTGCTTTCAGGCAGGACCCACATAGCATCAGTGTCAGTTCTGATACTCCTGGCGTGACAGCCTCTTTTAAACCCAGCTTGAATTTCTGGCAGTTCTCTGTCTATGTCCCACTCTAGCCATTTTTGGATGATCTTCAGCACAATTTTGCTTCCATGTGATATTAGTGATATAACTCGATAATTCCCACATTCTGTTGGATCACTTTTCTTGGGAATGGAAACAAATATGGATTTCATCAGTCAGTCAGTCAGTCAGGTAGCTGTCATCTAAATTTCCTGCCATACACTAGTGAGCACATCCGTGGCTGTCTGTACATGTTAGTTGAAACATGTCAATTAATATCCTGCCCAGTGCCTGGGGCCTATTTTCGGCCAATGCCTTCAGTAAAACTTGAACTTCTTCCTTTATTACCACTGGTTCTGATCATATGGTAATTGCTAAAATATTTTAGTGTTAACCAATTCTTTTCGGCAAAATGACCCTCTGTACCCCTTTCTTCTTCTTTTGATACTTCTAGGATCATTCAAGATTTTGCCTACGGCATCTTTCGGTATTGTAACTCGACGTCTGAATTTGCTTTTCAGTTCTTTAAGCTTGAAAATAAGTTCTTCCCTTTTTATTCTCAAATCCAGCTCTGTGTGCATTCCATTATAACGCTTTGCTTGGTCTTCTCCCGCTGCCCTTTGAAATCTTTTGTTCAGCTCTCTTAATGTCACATCTCTTCCCTTTGTTTTAGCTGCTCAATGCTCTAGTGTAATTTTCAGTGTCTCTTCTGGCACCTGTTTGGTTTCTTCTTTCTCCTCAGGCTATTCTTTTCATAGATAATATCCCTGATGTTATCCCACAATTCATCTGGTCTTTGATCACTGGTATTCAACAACATTAATGATGTGGATTGATAATATTAAACAACCACCACAACAGTATGTCAACAGGGAATTAAACAGTCGTTACTACTATAATAAATAGATTTTAAAATGTCATGCTTTAAGCAATAAAATCAAGATCATTACAATAATTCTGTTAAGATTTCATAGATTTATTTCAATGAAACTGGCTATCTGAATTATTTACATGAGTTACTACAGAGATAATAAAGTTTTTTTAAATTAATTACCCATATTAAATTAAGAATATTTCCAAGGAAATATTTCTTGTTGGGAAGAAAAGTCACAATAATCTTTTAAAATATATTTTTACTGTTCCCTATTAATGTATTAATCTTAAGAAATGATAGTTTAGATTCACGCTGCTACTAAACTGCTATGAATAAACATTCTAGAAAACAGAGTTACCTTTAGAGGCCTACACACACCCTCGGTGATATGCCCAACAACTTCTTGAATATTTTCTTCAACACCTGAAATTATAAGAAAAAAATTCAGTTTTTCCGTACATTATACCTCATAAGACATAAATCCGATAGGCTAAGAAACAATAATGAATGTGCTTATTGATAGAAACATTTTTTAAAAGGTTATAAATGATAATATGTTCTTATGGCTCTAGCAATTTCTAGTAATACACCTCAGTCTAATAATCCTTGTATAACTGCTGAATTAATAACATAAACAGTATTTCTAGATGAAAACAAGTATAAATAAATGAACTGCAGGGAAAAATGAAGGTAAAACATAAAAACTGATGGAAGGAATGTAAAGATGAACTCTAGTGGTGCAATGAGTTAAGCATTCAGCTGTCGATCAAAGGCCAGCAATGTGAACCCACCGGCTACTCTGCAGCTGTCTGCATCTGAAAAGGTTACAGCCTCGCAGACCTGAGGGGACGGTTCTAGTCCACACTCTCTCAGCAGTCAGGATGGACTCCAGGCAGCGGCCTTGTTTTGGTTTAACGTGACTCTGTCTTGTTTCTTGTACAGACCACTTACTCTAGGCTCTTTACTGCTATGTACTGTCAAACCGGAAATGACTTACAGTGGAAAACAAAATGACAACCACACCTCATAATCCTAGTGTAACACTACTAATCAAGCACTTACTAATTATCAGTCCCTGAAATAGGCAGTTGACTAAGTAATTGCTTGCATCTACCTTCATCCTTAGCATATGGAAAAACTAAAAAGTGACGTCCTTCCTACAACATAACCTGTTTCATGTATCTCCAATCTCTTTTCTCTCCACTTTTAAAACTGCCTCAATTGCATCCTTTAAAAAAAAAAGAAAAAGTTTAAAGAAAAAATATAACTTTAACTCTGAGAAATCCAGACTTTGACCGGACAAGGTTCAGACCTGTTGTTCTTAGGGTCACTAATGAGCTATACTAGACCCAGCATCATCTAACAACAACAACATAAATGCAGAGTATTATCTCAACATGGTGTAACAGAAAAGCAATATAAATGTTGCCACACACCCGTGCTACACACAGATATCATGAAGGCCATGTAACAAGCTGCATATAAATAACTCAGTAGAAACAGTCACGGTATTTCTCTTCGCTTCCTATGAAAAACTATCATCCCTGAAAATCGAAAATAATCATCTCAATGTAGTTGCAACAAGAGGAGTTCAAATTGTGCAGACAATGGACATAAAAATTCTAAACAATATTAAGTTTTACTTAATGAAATTAAGGCATAGCTTTAAGTACATTTGTTGTGTGTAATTATTTTTTTCTTAAAAAAGGTTAAGCAGTTACACACGGCTAAGAAATGGAACTGAAAAAATAAGCAGCTTAATCTCAAGTTAGCCATTCAGTTTCATTATTAACAAAGTGCAAGTAATATCATTGCAGGGGGAAGATGGACAGGCTCCCCCCATGTGATTTACTGCCTCTGAAAACCCTAGAGATCAGCAATGAGCGGGATCTGACTCAATGGTACAGAACAACAACAACAACAATCCCCTTTTACCTTTAAAGTACACTAGTGAGGACTTGAGATAGCATACAGTACACACTCAAGAAATTTCTTCAGTCAAGCAGAGGCTTCTCGGCTTGAAATGAAAGGTAACAGGGGTCCCTGAAGGAAAAATGACACCACGAGCTGTGAAATACCGGCCTTTGAAAAGCCTGTGGCGCTGAGTCTACCCAGAAATGCATGGAGCCACTGTGGGTCCAAATGACAAGCAGTGTTTATAAACCTCTGACCATCTGAGCAATAGGATAAAGGGGGCATTTATGGTAGAGAAATCTGTTAGCCAAGTAAGAGGGGGACTTAAGGCGAGGATGATTCACTGGGCTGCTTACTACACCATGCAGACGTGCGGCCTTCATCTCAGTGAACGCTTGGCGATAAGGACAGACACTGAGAAGCTCTGTGTGACTTCTTAGATTTGGTCTTTAGCAAAAGCAAAGCACATGCTCACCTTGGGTAGTTACACGCTTCAAAAGAGCTTCAAGATGTTCCTTTTCAGAAGCAGTAGCTTGATGGAGCCAAGCTAACATATCTCCAACATATCTAACGCCAAATGAAAACGACATGTTAACAAAGATCTACTTTAGAAAAACATCAACGTCTCTCAGAGTCTCCGATTCCCCTACCTCAAGGGGTCATGGGAGTGCATTTCAATGGGTCGAGGTGTACCTCCTGGGCCTCCTCTTGTAAGAGCATCAATAAATCCACGAACAACTGTACTTCTTCTGGCTGTCCCAAATTCATCTAGTGTGTATCTACAAGAGACAAGGCATGTGAATAAAAGCTGCTTTCCTTTGTTACAGTTATAATTGATGCAATTTCGAAGACTTTTAATGCCTTACTTGGGTCTTCTCTCAAACAGTATTATTTCCAAAAAGTAAAACACATTTAGAGGGTAATGTTATCATAATGAAAATTCAGCTGACAGGTATATCCAATTTTTCTTTGTCATTAAAAAGAGTGTTAGAATTTGAGATTTAAAAAAAAAAAAAATGTGGCTAAGTCAAGGAGTCTGGTAAAAGCAAAATCTCAAGCCAGGATGGAAATCTGAGACTCTTCAAGTTGCAGCAAAGTTTCCGTCTAAAACAGGATAGTCGACTCCTTCACACGCAGGCAAGATAACTACTTCTCAGAGTCTCACTTTAATCAGAGGTCTGTATCAGGAAAACAAGATTTTTTTTTCTCTTCTATATTAAAAATCTCCCTTTCACACAACTTACATAATAATAATAATAATAAATAGTATCCATTTTTAAAGGCTTACTTTCACTCCAAGATTACACCTACTAGATATTCTTTAAATTTACTGATCAATTGTGTAAGCACAGTAAATGGAGATGTTTTTGCTTGTTTTATGCTTTTTGGGGGGGAGTAGGGGGGTTGTTTTCTGATTTAGGTACCAGCTACAGTTTTGCAGGGACTAAGGCCTTCTCAAAGTGGAAGTCCACCTGTCTGTACTCAGACACAGAACAAAGTGAAGGAAGTGCTGGACGGGGAAACGCTGCACAGCGGGGAGGGACAGGTGAGAGGAATTTGAGAAGGGTGGAATGGAGCTGACTTAAGCTTCTAGTTCTTTGACTAGACTCTGCCATTGTTTCCCATCATCTCCTCTTCCACGAAAGCTCTTACTTTAAAAACACAGGAAAACAAAATCATTCTTCCTCATTCTATGCCAACAAAATTTACATCTGTTGGTTTCTGGGTAGTGGCACACTCTGCTATGCATGATACAACCAGAGGGTACCAGATTTTAATCCAATAGGTCATTACTGAAGATCGGCTTTAAAAAAAAAACAACAACAACAAAATGAACTGACATTTTTATTCAAAAGACAACTTTTAAAAAATACACAAGAAATCTGAAAAAGGGAGTATTTTCAAATAAAAGGAAAAAGCAAAGAGGTCAATAAATAGAAATTTTTAGAAATCTAAATCTTTTCTAAGGAGTTATCATTACTCAAACTCTGTGTGTGTGTGTGTGTGTGTGTGTGTGTGTCTATAAACAAGAATTATCTTTTCCCAGAGAAAGAAAATTTCTCTCACTGACAAATGTCAAAATTTCAAAATGCAGTACTTATAAGGATGAGTATTAAAATTAGGACATACACTAATGTGCGTATACGAAAAATGAACATTTAAAGGTCTCATTTTCCGTTACATTTAGCTCTACGAACAGAAGAAACATTTTGCTCAAAAAAGCTAATTAGAAGATTTTAAAAAAAGTAGCATTTCCTCTACCTGATGCAATAGAGAATAAAAGAAAAATCTCATTGTTCATATGAGGACAATCTTAACTTACATTCAGGAAGGTGAGCAGAGAAAACAAGAAACCTATATACTGTTTCTACTTAAAATAAATTTCTTTATAAAGAAATCTCAGTACCTGATTTATTAAGTTAATAATTTCTTCCAGTCATACACTCCCTAAAAAGAATTCAGTATGGCAACTGATATTTTCTCTGCCCATAATCTCCACTTACTGGAGACCGAAGAATGAACAGCAAAGCTTCACACACTAGTTAATAAATGCATATAGTGCCATCTGGTGGCTAGTGTGTTGCATTATCAAGGTTTACTTGAAATTAAGGAAAGTACCACATTGCTCTGGCAAGGTTCAGAGGGGCTGTAACAGAGTCGCTCTGAGTCGTGGTGACCCGACAGCACATAACAACAATCACTCTGTGCTGGTGGCCTGGTGGCTGGACTACACACTACTAGTCTGTAGTGTGTTATGCCCTAACCATATGCATCTCTGCTGGTTTGAATCCACTGACCTCTCGGTCAGCAGCCTGACGGTTCCCAATAACAACCAGGGTTCCTTTACACTAAAAGCAGGCGAAATAAAAACCGTATGTCCCTACAAATTCTACTTAGACACGAGAATGCATCTTTCTGTAAATGTGGAGAAAATCTCTACTTAATAAAGGGCCAAGGTACCTCTTTTTTTTTTTTTTTTTTTTTGCATACACATTGTCTTAACTACTCTTGCAAATATAATTCTTCCCCACTCAATTTTCAAATGTCCCTCAGAACTAGTGGCTGTCAAGCCAGTTTTGACTCACAGCAAACCCAGCGTCCAAGGGTAGAACTGAGTGCACTGTATGATTTTCAATGGCTGCGTTTTCAGACCTTCTGACGTGCCTCTGGGTGAACTGGACTCAAGCTCACTATTTGGTTGGCAGCCAAGTGCTGAAGCATTTGAACCACCCAGGGACTCCTGCGTCAGTTGCCATCAAATCAACTCGGCTAAACTCCAATCCAAGCTCACGGGTCTCGAGGTAAAACTGTGCTCCACGGATTTTCAATGGTTGGTTTAGGAAGTCTAACTGCCAGGCCTTTCTTCCCAGACGATTCTGGGTGGAGAACCACCTTTAATCTTTGGTTAGAAGTTGCTTTTGTTTTTGTTAGATGGCACTGAGTCAAGTACAATTCACAGCGATTCTATGAACTAAACTCCATGCCATCCTATTATCTCTGACGTACTTGAGCCCATTACTGCATCTTGTCGATGGTCTTCCTCTCTTTCTCTAAGCCTCCATCTACGCATGACATCCCTCTCCAAGAAAGAGCTTCTGTTAACAACATGCCCAAAGTACAAGAGACAAAGCATCATCATTTTTGCCTCCAAAGAGCATGGTGGCTGCTGCACCTTCTCTAAGACTTGTTTACTCTGTAGGCCATCCACAGCATATTCAGTGCTTTTCTCCAACACCACAGCTCAAAGGAGTCAATTCTTCTGCCACCTCTATTTATTTTATTGTTTAGCTCTCAAGACACACAGCAGGTGATTCAGGTGCACCTTAGTCGTCAAACGAACATCATTGTTCCTCAGCACTTTGGAAAGTTTCTTGAGAGTTAGCTTTCCCAGTGCAATACATCTCCCAAGTTTGTGTCTGGCTGGGACCAAGGGTATTGAATGATGATCCAAGATAGATGAAATCATCAATTTCATTTTTTCTTCATCTATCGTGATGTTGCTTATCGGTCCAGTGGTGAAAATTTTTGTCTTCTTTGTGTTGAGATGCAATCCATATTAAAGACTGTAGTCTTTGATCTTATTATTATGGTTAACAGACGAGCTCATTAATCATTTGTACCATTCACTAACTCCTAAATCTCTCTCTGAATCTTCCGGATGGCATTAAGGCCCCATTCCCTGCCTGTAATCATTGGAAAGAAACTTTCTTTGTCTCTGTAGTATAGCTCTGTTATTTGTCTTTCAAGCTGTTTCCCTGGTTGTGATTTAGGACTTTAATACATCTTTTTTTTTAAACTGGATAGCTTCCTAGTTTATTGCTTTTCAGAATAAAAATAATAGCTAATACCAAGTAATGTGTCAAGTCTTGTGCTAAGCACCTTTTGTGAACAATTACATTTAAGCTGCATAGCTCTGTAAGGCAGGTGCTAATGTTATCCTCATCATACACCAAAGGAAACCAAAGCGTAGAGAAGTTCAGGAGATTGTCAGAGAACTCTGCCTCAGGAGCCTATCTTCTAAACCATTATATAATACTGCTGCTTTTCCCCCTATGTTCATCAAGAATCAGTTTTGTTTGCATGGTAGCAGATAGCTGTCATTTATCAAGTGCCCCAAACATACAAAACTCAAACCCAAACTCATTGACATCAAGTCAGAACCAACTCACAGCTGTGCTCTAGGATTTCAGGGCTGTATATCACAAGAGGGGGGACTGTCTTTCTCCAACTGCTTTTGGGTCGGTAATGTAATTTCTTACCCACTAGGCCCCTAGAGTTGCCTCAAACATACAAAGACATTGAATTAAAAATGAACTTTTGAAGAAATCTTAATCTGCAGCCAAGATAATGAATTTCTAAAACTAAACAAGTTAGAAATGGAAAAAATTGGGAAAGAAATTTCCAAGTTGATACATTCTGCTGAGCTGCGGATCAGCAGTGACCGTCAGCTTATTACGGGTGCACGCACCGCATTCCAAGCTTTGATGCTACGGCCCTGCCACAAACCCAATAGCCAGTAAGATTCTGCAAGTAATTTTCCCAAAGACACATGTTCTTCTTCAGCCCATAACCTCACAGTTACTGTTCCCTAGACCTGAAATATTCTATTCTCTCTCCTCTTGCTAAAAAATGCTTTTCTAACTTGTTTTCCCCCTTAATGGTACTTTCTTTGAGTTCATCCCATTTCCTATCCCAGAATTACTTGAATCACCCTGCAGCACCTGGGATGCAGCCTCTACGGCAACAAAGAGGTTTCCATTAAAATGGCTTTGTTTATATCTGCTTCCATAAAATAAGACAGGTGACACACGTAACACAACAGTGCACTCTCATTTGAAACAACCGTCCCAGCATTTGTGTTCTGAAATTTTGTTTGTTATAGGAGACACAAAGCTCCAACTGGAATAATGTGGAAATCCTCAAAATATTATACGGTGCATTGGAAAGGGATGACTTGGAAGACCTGGGAAGAAACACTCAGTTTTTCTGTTCCATAAATTAATTTCTCTTTATCTCTCTAGAGCTCATTTTCCTATTAGGGAGCTCTGGTGGCCTCGTGGGTATGAGTTGTTCTACCAACCCAAAGGCAGGCGCTTTGAATATACACCAACTGCTCCGTAAGAGGATGGACAATTCTCTCCTGTACAACTTTCACACTACTCTCAAAACCAAAATGTTTTATATTAAAAATACAGAATAAAATTAAAATATGTAACTAATATATGTTGTTATTATTGTTGTTGTTCTGTGCTAGTCACCTGTGACTTACAGTGACCATATCCATGTACAACAGCCCTAAACCCTGCTCTATCCTGTGCCAATCTTATTGCATCTGACACACCTACCTCCATTACTCCAGTCACTGAATCAATCCACCTCATCGAGGGTCCTCCTCTCTTGCGTTGTCCCTCCACCCTCCCAAGCATAATGAGAGGATCAAAGGCCCCAGCCTCTCTTTATTTTTGCTTGCATTTTAGTAAAAGAATGACAGTTTTACATTCACTTTTTCTTCTTCTTGCCCCCATTTGGTCTCCTCTTTCTAGGCCAGGACTGATCGAGGAACTTCAGTTACTTATAATTCTAAGGTAGTTCAAAAAATGACAGATTGGGGGGGAAAGTCCTGTAATCAATCTCAAGATAAACAAGAGGTAATCTAGACACAAGATATCCTCCCATGTGGTAACTGCTTCTAAAAACCCTGTGGAGGGTCAGCTATGGATCGGTTCCAACAACAACAACAACATAATCTTTACTAAGTAATACACAAATAAATGACGTGCCAATGCCATTCATATGATATAATGAAAACATATCACGGTGTGTTATGGTAACTTTTGTTCACTCTGCAGCAAGTGTAGATGAGAATATTACAAAATCATGTAAACGATCAAAGACAATGAAGGGTTAGTTTACTTGTTAGTTCTTTTTGTCATTAGGAAAAAGTCACCAACTTGTATAAGACGGGTCGGTCCTGCAGGGCTTCCATCGCCTGTGTCAAAACCGGAGAGATGTCACATGATTCTTGTGTCAAGGCTCTGCATTCACCTGAAAAACAATGTTAGAACTCTTACTAAGTGAAAATGAGCTTTTTATCATGCCCACTGCACACCTCTTGTGCTACCGAGGTGACTACGATTCAAAAGCACAGCTCTGACACTAGGAATTTAAATCCTCTAGCAAATGCCAGCCAAACGAGCTGCGTGGGGAAGGCCAGAAAAGGAAGGTGCCAGTCAGAAAATAGTTGATGCAGTCACACAGATGAAAGCTTTAGTCTTTTTACCACTTTAAATGGCATCATCTGCTAACTGGTACAACCTCAACTTCTATGTTAGTATTGTAAGAAACTAGAGAGAGTTCTGAAGCGCCTGATGAATGAATAAAAATGTACTGATTACTGCTATATTCACAGCAGTCATTTAGCTTCAATGGGAATGGGGGGTATATACTAAAAATTGCATTACCAGTTCCTTTCTTCAAAGAACAATCTTCAAGCAGCATGCTAAAATAGGTAACATGGAGAGCTTACTAAGTGTCTAGTAAAAAAAATCCAGGTAGCATATTACATGACATAACAGGCTGCTGACCACAAGGCTAGCAGTTCCAATTCACCAGCTGCTCTGAGAAAGAAAGATGGGAGAGCACCTTCCATAAAGAGTTAGCCTCAGAAACCCAATAAAAGGTCACGATGAGTCAGAGTCGACTTTCAGGGTAAGTACCCATTTATGTTCAAAGAGTTCAGGAACTGGAAATTCCTAATTTCTTGGTGGAGGAGAACTTCATGCAGGTGGTGTATTTGACTAAGAAAAACCCAGACATGTACGGAATTAGACACATCTCAAAATGACTTCCCCATCCCTAGGAGTCAGAGACCCCCAAGTGGGAAGCAAGATGTTAGATGTCACGAGAACAGGAATGGGAGGCAGGGCCCGCACACAAGGCAGTAGGCTACTAAGTACAGAACAATATTCCCAGCAGGAAGTGTTCAGAGATGGGAAAAGACACGGCCTCAGGCCAATACAAAAGGGAAGTCGGGCCTTGAAGGACAAGAAAAGGTGTGGACACAAAAAAGTTTAAGGACAGTCCAGACAGGAGAAAGTCAGTGGGTATAAGAAAGGACCAGGTTTTGGACCTAGAGTAAATAAATCACCCTGAGTAATGTCAAGACAGGTCAGGGGCATCTAACTGACTGGATTGAATCTCAACTCCTTCAAACAGGTGGCAACACCTCTTAAAAAACATGTCCTCCTGCTCCATCCTGCTGTCCAATCTAGCTGGCTGTTAGCAGACTATTTATTTAAATAGGGTTTTGAAACAAAAGAATATGCTTATTAACTAAGGCAAATAAACTCATGCCATAGAACAGGTACAGCCAAACAAGTTCCTACCCTGGAGCATGGTACTACCCTACCTGACGGCAGATGGAATGAAGGTTATAAACCTCAAAGAGATTATCATGAATGACCCAGGTGACCCCAGTGGAACCACACAGGTCCTTTAAACATGGACGCAGTGGGAGAAAAAGGGAAAATATTGAAGAAGAGGCCCGAGAGATTCAGAATTAAGGAGGAACCGACCCTCCGTGGCTGCCTTGGAAGATGAAAGCAGAGCCGTAAGCTAAGGAATGCTGGTGGTCCCTAGAAGCGGCAGAAGGCCCTCAGCTGACAGCAACAAGGTACGAAGCCTAGGAACTGAGTTTTGCCAAAAGCTGAGTGAGCAAGGAAGCAGAGGCTTCTCTGGTACTTCCAGGAGTCCAGCCCTGGCAACACAGTGGCTGTAGCCCACTGAAGCTCACGGTGGGTTTCTAACCTACAGTTGTAAAAGAATAAATGTGGGTGATATTAAGCCATCAAGTCTGTGGTAACTTGTTACTACAGAAACAGGAAAGCAATAAATCAGCTTATAATGTTGTTGTTGATTGCCTTCAGGTCGAGCACGACTCACAGCGATCCTATGAACAAAGGGCCTGAAGCCCCTCTACAATACCAACATTTATCAAAGTTCATAGAGTTTCCGGAGGAAGTAGTTTAGGAAATGGATGCCACTCCTGCTTACAAAAAGCTATCTAAATTACAAGAGATGGCTAACTTTAAGATCTAGGGCAGAAATATAATCTTATTTCTTTTAATACTATCCTTACTGTAAACCAGTACTTGGTTGATAGTAGATGCATACTACACACACAAAAACATACTACATTCAAATGTAAGGTTTGTTTTTTTTTTAAAAAATGCATTCATTAGTAATATCAAAATAGGATAAAAAAAATCAAGATAAAAAATTTAAAAATCAAACACTAACTTTTATGAGTCTATACCACATGAAAGGGAGTTAAAAGTCTCCAAACTTCACTTACTTTGAGCCCATCGATAAAGTCTTTCATAAGATGTTTCTTGAAGCAAGGCCATTTGTTCCATAATTTCTAAACTGAAAAATTTTAAAGATTGATTATAAATTCAATTTTAGCCAATAACTACAAAGCACCTAGTCAGTTTGTCTGATGATCGAATTATCTGGCTATGTTATATTTATTTTTATCATTTTATGAAATTCTTTTTCAGTTAATTGTTAAGCTTATCATCACCTAGCTATCTGAGTGCTGACTGACTCTCAGTTTGTCAGGAGTCTTGGCGGCATAACTGGGGTAACTGAGTGGTCAGTAGTTCAAACCCACCATGGGCTTGATGGGAAAAAGAGCAAGCAGACACTTCCTGTTAGGACTTAAGCATGTGACATCCAGCTGGGGGCGTGGGCAGCTGAGGGGTGCCCCATGAGTCTGCACGGACTGGATGCCAGTGGGTTGGCTTTGTTTTTATTATCCCGTGATAAATGATAATTAAACTCCTAATTCACAAACTGGCATGGAGTTTCACAAAGAATGAGGAATGTTTTAAAATTCTGGAAACATTAGGGGAGATGAAATTATTTCAATGAAAAAGTTACTCACCCGGCTGTTTGCTGGTTGGTACGCAAGAGAACTTTGACGTCATTATGAATCTGTTTGACTCTTCCCAGTGCTCTGAAAAAATTCTTTAAAATTAAGAACAAGATTTTTAATGTTTACCCTTTTTCAGATAAAAATACTCTGAAATGTCATGATGAAAGGAAAACAAATTTTGCCTAGCTTAACGGAGTCTTCCTATACTGATGTTAAATTGTGCTAGCTTTTTAAAAGATGTAATAAATATTTAATGGTTTTAAATATACATTAATTCAATGCTTATTAAATGCAAAATAGTGTGCTACATGTCAAAGGAATGAATTTACAGAAGCAAAAATCTTTGTCCTCAATGAGGAATGTCATGTGAAAGAACTGTTAACCTAAGAAAATGATTCTATAAAGCCAAATGCTCTATGTGGGACGATTAGGCCTTATACATATGACAATTAACAACCTGGAACAACAATTACAGAGTCACATGGGGGAGGCAGAGGGAGGAGAAATATGTGAGAATGAATAAAAGAAACCCCATCTCTTTGTAAGCATTCACTAAAATCACAATTTAAAAAAGTGCTATCTGTTATGTATCTTAAGGTGTAAGTAAGCATGGTACTCTAATCAGGAAATGCAATGTTTATGTATCCAACAATCAGAGTTGGATACACAGGATGCTCACTAAATATATGGGTGTCGAAAAATGTCCTGGAACCTTATAGTTTCTATAAAGCCACAAAAAGTCTTCCAAACATGAGAATAAGGCAACTGTTTTTATTTATTTATTTTTTTAATTTTATTATTTTTGTTTGAGTGTACCGTCAAATCAGATCTGACTGGTACAGGAGGAGATTGTCCCTCCTTCGCCGGCAGAGCATCTGGTGGATTTGAACCGTGCGCCTCTAGGATTGTAGTCGCAGCTCCTTGCCACCAGGCCACCAGAACTCCCAGGCAACTGTTTTTAAAGCATAACTAACCCTCAACTAGATGGATTGATACTGACACGGTGACTGCAGCAATGGGCTCAGGAATGTCAGGGTTCATGAAGACAGTGCAGAACTGGACGGGGTTTAGATCTGCTGTTCACAGCATCACGACAAGTCATAACCAGCACCTAACAATGACAAAGCTAGACACTGCCTCCTCCACTTTCTCCATACAGAGACAGCGTAAGATGTCAAATTAAGTATTTCAAATGTGCAGAGTTCCTGTAAGGCTAAAGAGTAAGGCAGGAGATTCTATCCCCACCAACTCCTCCCATCTGTTTAACTTCCTACACTCAGGTGATTGTTCCCTTGTCGTTTAGGAGGTGAGACCGCTTTCCAGAATGTCAGCAAGACCAGAAGCCCAGAGAACTCCCCTGAATGCCTTCAAGGAAAAGAAAAGAAAGGAAACTCTCTGTTAAAAAGGTTTTATATAGTCCTGACAGTGACTTGGAAAAGATTAAGAATGGCAGCTAAAACAAAGCAATGAGATGGATGACAAGGTTTTTTCTAACTTCAGGGAGACGCTGAGCCATTATAATACGTACAGACAGGTGTGATGTTACCTGTCCAATGAGGAAGGAGTGGAGGAGCGGGAAGGTGCACATGTTTTTGTTGGAAAGAGAGGACAGAGGGGCTGGAAGCTAAATCCTCCTATTTCAGGTTATAGAACCAATTTTGAGACTTAATGTGAAAATCCGAGCATAGTCTTTTTAACTGCCAGGTATAGAACATAAAATACACAAAAGAAACAATTAGCAAGGCTGCGAGTGGCTTGCAAAGGTTCGCGGGGGCGCGGAGCAAAGGGCTGACTCACGCTTTGTTGTTCTAGGTCTGGGTGCTCTTTTTTCCATCTCACAGAAAAGGACATATAGTACTTTGGAAACAATGAAAACTCAAACAAATTTAACATTTTACCTCTTAATTTCCAAGCTAACTTGAAATGTTTTCATTATTCTGGGATCAATCTTTTCTTTTTCAGATGGGAACATAAAGCCTCAGAAGAGCCCTCTGTCTATAGCACCTGCAACTGGTAAACTTGAAATCACGGTCACAGAAAAGGCAGGATACCTCTGTGACAGGTCCTTCTCTCGTCCCTCGGAGAAGACTCATTTCTTCAGGAGTCAGCTGGAACTTGGCCAGGAAGGCGTCTGCAACTTGGGCTCTTATCTCTAATCTTTGGCTACAATGAAAAAAAAATTAAAATACAGTCAATATCAAGGATGCTGTGCATAACTTTAAAACACTTCTGGGGAACAAAGAACTGAATCAAGTCCTATCACTGGGATCTTAGTTTCTGGAAAGTGCCTGGGCAATTCACATGCTCGCTGCCTTTCTAAGGAGACCTAAAGGTGTAGTGGTCAAAGCACTGAGCTACTAACTGGAAGGTCTGCAGTTTAAAGCCACCAGTCACCTCACAGGAAAAGGATGAGGCTGTTTCCAGAAAGTTATACCACCTTGGAACCCCTGTGGGTAATTCGATTCTGTCTTAGGGGGTCCCTGTAAGTTGAAATAAACTCGATGTTCACAGGTTTGTTTTGATTTGGATTTTAGGCTTCCTAAAATAGGCACAGGATAGGACAAGGTTCAGATCTGTTGTTCATAGGGCTGCCAAGAGTCATACTTAACTTGACACCACCTAACAATAACAAAACTATGTGAAGGAACTGTGAATTCTGTGGACCATTTTAACAAATCATCAAAACCCCTAGGGGCATGGAGAACCAGCAGAGAGCCGGGCCATTGCACAGGTGGCAAAGCCTGGAAGGTCAGAGCCTTAACATACAGAGACCCAAATCTGAGTGGTCATGTCTGAGGGAAAGTTCCACGCGGACTGGTTACTGTCACGGGAAAGCAGGAAGTGCCGTTATCTCTCCAACTTGGGAATTAAGTTTACCTCAGCTATTTATATAATCTCTGACAAAATAATTGTTATCATAAAGATGTGAAGGGTTTGGGGATCTTCCAAAGTCTAGTTTTATGCCTCAAATACCAGAAGTTCATTAAGCATATAGATAAGATTAGCTGAAAAAGTACTATTTCTATAGTTTCTCAGGGTAAAAGGAGTTGAAATGGAAAAGAAGAACCACAGAAGGTGCACAAATGGTCCCACATTCTTGGACACAATGTATTTCAATAGTTCACCCTGTAAAACAAAATTATTTTACAGGAACAAAAAATATGCCAAAGTAGTTTTCTTTCCAGTTGCTAAAATCTCTTCATCTTTGAACATAAATCAGGAAGAAACTCAAAATCATTCCTATTAGTTTTTTATTTTAGATTTTTATTTAGAAATAGAAGTTAAGATTTTATTTTACTAATTCCTCACAAAAGCCTACGGCCTATGTCATTTCTCTACTTTTATTTCAGCACCCCCCACCCCGCACCCCTCACTTTTTCAAAACACTCCGGTAAGTTTAAAAATCTTTTCTTATCATTAAAAATCTTTTCTTAGCAGAATGTAATCACTCTAAACTATGTAAGTTAGAAAACAAGGCAATCTACTCTGAAATGCAAGTTATAAAGATACAAAGAATAGGGAGTTATACTACTACCCAAAGGCCCTCTGTCCCTTTGAACCCACCAGCAGCTCTGTGTGAGAAAGATGGCCAATCACTTCCTGTGTGAGTTACAGGCTCAGAAAACCTGCTGCTGGAACAGCTACGAGCTGGTTCTAACTTGACAGCAGTGAGTCGGCTAGTGAGAGGAAGACTGGGCAGGGTAACCATCAAAAGACAAGTTAGGAACACTAGTTCATTGGCCATCTGATCAGTAACCACAAGAGAAACGCAGCCTTCTCCATCATTTTAGAGCTGATGATACCTAATTAACACAAGCTCTCCCATAGCGGGGTCACAGTCATTCATAGTCAAAAGTTCCTATTGAATCACATAAAAAGCAACAACAGGATGAATCCTCCAGGGGGCAGTGATGTCCCACTGATCAGAGAGAACACACACTAAACCAGCTGATTAGACTCACAGGTTTAAGGGCACAGAACAGCAAGAACAACAAGGGGAAATCATATTATTACTTTTTTAAAAAAATGAACAGTCTTCATTTTATACTCTTAAAGCCTCAAGTATTACAGCAATATATAACTAGGACTACTGTAAATGCATGTTTTACTATAGTACAACAGTTAAATATCTGGGATATACTATACAACAGTTAAATTATCTGGGAAATACTATATAGTTAGAATAAAAATTAAAGTCTTTGAGAAATATATATA